GCTGGACAAAATCTAGAAAGATATCATTGCCCCTGTAGGAACGGCTGGAAACTCTATGGTAAAGCCATAGAGGTCAGGGGGGATAAAAATCAATGGGCTTTTTAAAATTAAAAAAATTTAATTTTTAAAATTTAAATCAAATGTTTTATTTAAATCAGATTTTTAAAAAATAGAATGCTTTGTGAGGAAAAATCTATCTGAAGATATTTATTTATTTTATTGGATTTCTATTCCATCCTCCCTGCAGCCGGCTCAGTGCAGCTTACACTTAAGGGCACTGTGTGCCATAATATATAAAAACATATAAAAACAGACATTCCTCGCCCATCTACAGTTGAAGGGATAATATTACATCATATTACATATGAGTTCAACAGTTAACAAAGTGCTTGTTCAGGGGGAAATTATTCTGTACTGGTCAGGTCTTGCAGTCTTCCTTGGGAATTGTAGTTTATTAGGATTGCAGTGAAGAGACTGGGGACGAATAACCAGCTGGCCAAGATATTTTTAGCTTTTAATACAAGGCATGTTTGAATCAATGCATATTATTGTTATCCACTTAGAGGTGTTATGCTATCATCTGTCTGGTATTTGCAGTTATAGAACAGCGTGGAACTAAAGCACACTTCTGCTTCTATCTAGGCTTACCAAACGCCGGCGGGGGAAATCTATTTCCTGGCAGGATGCGTGCCGCGGGGGACGGCTGTGCGCGCTGCACCCGCCATCGCCAGGATGTGACGCTCCGCGTTACTCTGGCAACGGGGCTGTTTGGGTCCCGTTGCCAGGGTAACGCGGAGCGTCACATCCTGGCGATGGCGGGTGCAGCGCGCACAGCCGTCCCCCGCGGCACGCATCCTGCCAGGAAATAGATTTCCCCCGCCGGCGTTTGGTAAGCCTAGGAAAGGCAGTCCCTCAGGTATGTTGGACCCTGGCCATATAGGGCTTTAAAGGTAAGTACCAGCACCTTGAAGCGAATTCGGTATGCTATTGGCAGTCAGTGCAGTGTTTTCAGCACAGGCCGGATGTGCTCCCATCTAGGGAGACCCATCAAAAGCCTGGCCACCGCATTCTGCACCAGCTGCAGCCTCCGGATTTGCGACAAGGGCAGCCCCATATAGAGAGCATTGCAATAGTCTAGTCTCGAGGTGACTATCGCGTGGGTCACTGTAGCCATGTCATCGCGGTCGAGGAAGGGAACCAACTGCCGGATCAGCCAGAGGTGGTAAAAGGCCGACTTAGCAGTGGCTGCCACCTGGGCCTCCATAGTGAAGGAGGGATCCAGGAGCACTCCCAAACTCCTCACCACTGGCGCTGGCACCAATGGTGCCCCGTCGAAGGTCGGGAGAGGGATCCCCATTCCCAAACCGCCTCAACTCTGGTACATGACCTCTGTCTTTGCTGGATTTAGTTTCAGCCAGCTCAATCTAAGCCAACCAGCCACGGCTTTCAATGCCCGGTTCAGATCTTCCAGACTGGAGTCAGACCGGCCACCCCACATCAGATAGAGCTGGGTGTCATCTGCATACTGGTGACATCCCAGCCCATACCTCCAGGCAATCTGGGCAAGGGGGCGTATATAGATGTTAAACAGTATCTGGGAAAGCACTGCCCCCTGAGGCACACCACACTCAAGCGGGTGACTCCGGGACTGCTGTTCCCCTATCACCACCCTTTGTCCCCGACCCTGGAGAAAAGAAGCAAGCCATTGTAAGGCAAGCCCCTGTATCCCCACGTCGGCGAGGCGGTAGGTCAGTAATTGGTGGTCAACCATGTTGGATGCTGCCAACAGGTCTAACAACACCAGTACTGCCGAACCGCCCCAATCCAGATGCCTCCGAAGGTCGTCCATAAGGGTGACCACTGCTGTCTCCGTCCCATGTCCCAGGCGAAAGCCGGACTGGAAGGGATCTAGGACAGAAGCATCATCCAGGAAGCCCTGTAACTGTATTGCCACAGCCATCTTGATTAATTTGCCCAAATAGGGCAAATTGGAAACCAGCCGATAGTTGGCCAATTCAGCCGGATCCAGAGTTGGTTTTTTTCAAGAGAGGACGGACCATAACTTCCTTGAGTGCTCCCAGGAACCGCCCCTCAGAGAGGGACTTGTTGACAATCTCTCTTAGGGCACCTCAAAACCCTTCGTGCCCCCCTTTAATAAGCCAGGAAGAGCACGAATCAAGGCTGCATGTGGTTGGGTGTACAGACATGAGCAACCTGTTGACTTCCTCCAGGCTGAGCGGGCTGAAACAATCCAAACCCGGAACTGAAGACATGTAAGGGGCCTCGAGTTCACTCACTGTATCAACTGTGGTGGGGAGGTCGTGGTGGTGCGCCAAGACTTTATCCACGAAATAGCTCGCAAATGCCCTGCAACCAGTGTCCAATTCCCTAACATTTTGCCTGCCCTGTGGCAGAGCTGTTAAAGACTGAATCATTCTAAACAATTGGGCTGGGCATGAGCTCGAGGACGCAATCGTGGCTGCATAGAACTCTCTCTTAGCGGCCTTGACTGCCATCTCATAGGATCTCATAAACGTCCTATAAGATGATCT